TTCAAAAGAATACTGAGCAAATTACAAACAAAGGATCAGCCCACAAACCTCAAGCTCAGTTGGTCCCAACAAACCAGAGATCAAACAATATTACAAACAGATCAAAAAGGCAATTCAGCCTCTACTTCGCTGGCAGCAACCAAAACGCGTCCACGTGGGCCCACCAACCACAACCAATTATCATCCGACATCCCGATGATCATGCGCTCATTGTCCTCCACAACCTTCACTACGCATCCAATGGGCCAAGCGCCCCATCTCCGTTGGGCCAACACACGATCACGGGACAACCACGTTAACTCTGACGCAAACGTCTCTTCATAGTTCTTGTACAGCAAATCCTTGATTCTGAAAGGATCACAAACATAATGGTACAATATTCAAACATTCTTCCAAACATTCGTTTGACGTTACTCACTCATCAAAAGGATTCTTGATGATGCCGCCTCCACCGAATTCCACATGTCCACGTGCCTACATTGGACAGGCATACTCCGAATCATTCCGGAAATGCAAATGAGATTCACATGGTGATTTCCCTGGCGACGCAGTCCCATCTGGATTCCATGTCGGTGCCTGTCCAGGACAAATCGGCACATTCGTCACCGAATCTCCAGCTGTTATCAATGTCGCAAACTGCATGGCAAGGACATGGTCCCGTGCAAACCACAAATAGGCGCGGGAATTCAAATGACCAAATGATTTGAAATCGTTTTTGGTGATCTTTGCAAATGGCGCCAAGTAATCCAATGGCGTGGGCAGTGCCCACCATCCAACCACATCTGACGAATGACCATGCAAACGGCCAACTTCTTGATGCAACATCTTATCAAGTAATCCTTGGAAAAAAGAGCCAGCACCCAAGCGTTGTTCAGTTGTCACCCTGCCGTGATCAACATGTCTCAATGGAAAAACGGGCAATCCCGTCTCCCGATGCAGCCGAAACTCCCCTGTCCATTCTCCTGGGGATGAGGCGCCCAAAGCAAAGACAGGGCACTTGAAGACCTTTGACAAGCGCCGGTAGTACGCTTTCAAGTTGTTGAAGAAAGCCATGAAGTTTGAGTACTTGCAATGACCAGTCACTGTGCAGAGCTCCTTGATGTCGTTTGTTCCAATCCGAACGCACAATTGCGTGAACTGGAAATCTTCAGGGAGCTTCAGGTCCTCATACACCCGTTCTCGGACATCCTTGGCGGACCACAAGTTGTACTTGCTTCCATATACAGCACACANGAACGCACAATTGCGTGAACTGGAAATCTTCAGGGAGCTTCAGGTCCTCATACACCCGTTTTCGGACATCCTTGGCGGACCACAAGTTGTACTTGCTTCCATATACAGCACACAATCCGCTTGCCCCATACTACAAACAGAGAAAGGATGAATTAAATGGTCACAAACATCCCTTTTCAAACACAAACCTGATATACATCGAAATTCAGGTCCTTTGTCAGATGACTGAAATCGAACACTGGAAATACGTGATCCTTTTTCTCCCCAACGCGGGTAATATACGTTTTATCTGGAGCTCCAACTCTCCAAGGACAGATCAATGAAGTCCCCAGGAGCAGCACTCGCACTGCAGCGCAAGCACGAGCCTCATCCCGGATAACCTGCAATGCTCTGTTCCCATACAGGATGTCCTGAACACTGCATCCTGGTGTCGGCAAATGTTGGCCCTTCAATTTACAAACATTTCCATCCGAAATGCCCATCCGATCGGCAACATTGGTGATGTACTGATCCCAGTCTTCAGGATCGAACTCCCACCATCCAGTTGAACGCCGACCTGAGCATACATCAGAACAGATATTTTTTACAAACAATCATATATCATTGAGTTTGAAAACACTTACGATAAGTTGTGAAAACGGCATTGACGTTTTGAGGGACTTCAACTGGCTGCACATTCCCGCCTTCATCCGAATCTCCACCATCCACTTCTACGTCCACAACTGCAGCAGCCCTTGCCGACTCACAGGACTGGGAACGAAGACGCTCCCCAACTTCCTTACACTTTTCCAGGGCTGCTTGCAAGGCTTGCACTGTTACCTTATTTGGCATTGGTGGTGTAGATGATGTCCTAGGAGATGACAAATCCCTTGCATCATATTCCCTCAGCCACAGCTCCTGAAGCTCGTCAGCTGGGCCATACGCCATGGACAACTTTGGTTCTCCAGCCAGGTCAAAAATTCAAACACGACCTACACACATTTGACGTACAAATATAAACATGTTTTCAAACAAAGTTTGAGTGCCATACACACCATCTAGCTCTTTGCAAGCTTGGAAAGAGGAGAAAAACAGCATTCCGCCGCTTCCAAATGTCAAACAAAGACGTCCCTCGTCAATCTGCATCCTGGAATTAAAGGCTTCCTTCAAGCAGTCATCTGAGGCTGCAATCAGGGCCTCCCCACGGCGTATGCGCTCTTTGTCTGATGCAATCTGCCTTTCAATGGCGTCACGACGTTCTTCCATCTCTGTTGCAGTCCGATCCAGTTCATCCGACTCCTTCTGGACACGCTCGATTCTCATGCGATTGATTGCTACGCTCTGCTCCAAGTGCGCCTTCATCATGTCCGTACATGCAGATGTCTCGACAACCGGCAGCAGGGTATTCAGTCGGTGTAAGCAGTCTGCATTCAAACGGCCAAACACTGGTGCCAACTCTTCTGCACCGCTGGGGAACTGCATTACTCCCACGTTGTTGTCCAGTCGTCGAACCTTCCGACGTGGCAATTCGAAGTCCTGGTTCTCCATGCTCAATGGGTCGCTGTTCCCGGCATCAGAGCCACTGCTCATATCTGCCGCTTCTGCAAAAGAACGAGAAAGCAGACATGTGTCACAAGATTGTCCCTCATGCCAAGGGGTACAATAAATTGACACTCACCCTTGTCAATTGAGTCTAATGAGAGCTCTCACATGAAAAAATGTTGTACAACATAGTGGCGTACGAGACGCCTGGAGGTCAATACCTCCTGTACCTTGAACATTTTCGATATGAGTTTGGACGATGGAAACTTGGTCACAGCACCACACTTGGTCACTGCACCTAGGCGTGTTCTGCCTTTACCTCAACCTGTTTCGAGATGCCGGTTGACTATACCGATGGTTGTGAGTGGATTCCTGGGTTATGCCAAAACTCCCCGATGGGAATCGGCGTACGAACCGCCAGAGGTCAATACCTCCTTTACCTTGACCTGTTTCGAGATGCCGGTTGTACTAAACCGATGAGAAGAGGCATACGAGTCGCCTTAAATGGGACAAATTCCCTCTTACAAACACAACAATCGAACGAAGGTTTGAAATATTGATTTCACTACCTATAATGGCATGATCAACTTACGCCTGGAGAACGTGAAGAATTTTGCCCACACGTTTCCGTGAGTAAAACCCTTCAAGTCCAAAGGCATGAAGCCACACGCCACATCACACGGAATTATATAAACACTGGACACGAAGCAAAAATGAACCTTTTGCGCAACTGCACATGCGCAGTACAAACATGAAACAAAACATATGAGCTTGCCTAATGAAAACGATGCAACAAACTTTGCAAAGGAATGATACAAATTTGCGGCTCATGCCTACAAGCAGTTGAGATCATTGTCTCCTGCTTCAACTAAAAAGTTATGTTTTACACAGATTGCTGTGACAAAACTAACGCACACCAGGAGAATGTGAAAAACTTTGCCCACATGTCAAACGTGGGCTAAGCTTTTCAAATCCTATGGCACAACGTGCTGTACGACAGCAATGGACCACTTCAAAATTTTTACAAACATGAGGAAATTGAAAACACGGACTCAGGCCTGGAGAATGTGAAGAACTTTGCCCACACCATTCACATGGGTGAGGCCCTTCACACCCAGAAGGCCCAAAGTCACACACAACAAAATTGACACTTGCAAACAAGATCTACGACACCAACTGACGTACGTCTCGAAAACGTCAAAAACTTTGCCCACACAATTACCATGAGCACAGTCTTTGACATCTCAAGACATGACACCATCTGCGTTCCACATCAAAGCATCTACATCAGCACTTTTACAAACAATTTATTTTCAAACACTTCTTGATGACATCACCTGCGGCAAATGCACAACGACAATTGACCTCCTCCTTGTACTAACAAAGGAGATCAACATCGTCACACATACACCAGCCGGCACTTTTTTTTTTCAAACACTTTGTAGAAGACGACTTCACCAAAAACTGACGCCTTCCTCAATGCTGCAGACCAAGAAGACCAGCGCACATTGCGCCATCCAGTCATAATGATGACTGGAACTGGACTGGTCTGCTCTACCGGCTTCCAGAATTTTCTGGAAGCGCCGCGCATGCGCGCCGCCATCTCTACTCCCCGCAACTTTGCCTACGCCGATTGGGCTTACCGTTCCCGCCGCCGATGGTGAAACCAGAAAGCCCAAGGGGGGTTCTGTTGCGGGTTGACTAGATGTCGCCCGCAGCGCAGGAACAGGAGAGGCACAGAAAGTACGATGCAGCGTAGGAAATGCCACGTCGTACATAAAAACAAATATCTCGAAAATTCCAAACAATTCAAGATAACAACAGAAATATCTTTTATTAAAAACATTATGAAACCTGAAGATATTGATCTTCAGGAAAAACATTCCACCAAGTGAATCATCACTTGATGAAAGGAATTATGAAGAATTTTACAAACAGAAAATTAGTCACACCCCAGTGAAAACCTTGGAGAAGCTTTCCACTGGGGAGGACCAGGACCTGTGAGGAAGGAACAGCAGAATCAATCAATCCTGCTCTGGACTTTGGAAAGAACAGACCTGCATATTTTGTGTGTGACTTTTATTGCTGGGAAATATTATTTGTGGACTTGGACATTGCTGATAAACACAAGTTGAGGGTTCAGGACCCTTAGGCCGCAAACGGCCGATTGTGCTATAAACTTATTTCACTAAAACCTGGTATTTGTGTTGGGGTCTGAGGACCTCTCACAGCCTAACTGATAATTTTTTTTTTTGCCCACAACATTTTTCTGCTCTCAGAGAAAAAAGCATCGGGATTTTTCCCGACTTTGCCCTTGACCACCTGTTATCATTTTTTTCCAAACCTCTCTGAGGTGCCACAAAATTTTGCAAAAATAGTCGGACTCTGCTGCACAAAGGTTAAATGAAAATAAAATTGCTTTGCAGAAGCAGTATTGTCAGCTGTTTTCTTCCAAGTGACATTCTTCTCTAAATTTTTTTAAATATTTTATTCTTTCAATTCAAAGAAAAATTTCAGAAATTCCACATGGAAAACTGATGCGCATGCAAAAATATTCGACACGAGAAATTGAAGAAAATTCTCACGTCAAAATTCATTTTAAAAAACGCGGCTAAATTTTGCAAACTTATAGAATGAAACCAATGACATACAGTATACATACCTGTTGGAAATGAGGGCACCAGCAGATAAAACGTATCTGAAGACAGATTCTCCTTCGCCTCCATTGTCGGAGTTGGAGCGACTCAAATCGCCTTCAATCCTCGCATAAAACGGGTGCATGAAAGTGCTGATTTCCGGCTGAGATTCCGAGTCTTCGTCGAAATTGCCCGCCAAATTGTCACAGGATTTGCCAGACTGTCTCTGCGATATTGGGAGTCGAAGAAACTTTCCGTTTTGCAACTCACTCCTCCCATCGTCTAATCCTGTGGAAAAATAATTTTAAAAAAACGAAAAAAATATAATTTTAAACATTCCTTAAATGCAATATTTTTCTCATGATTTTCAACAAATCAAAAATACTTATTCAACGACAAAACTCACGACTGGAATTTGTAATTGTGGCTGGATTGAATGCCAAGAAGGTTGACAGAAACAACAGACTCATAAACATGACTTTCTCACTTTTCTAAACCCTGAAAGTCACAATTTCTTTAGTTCTTTTAAAAATAAGTGAACTCCTGAAGAACTTTTTTTAGCACAACGATTCTCAAATCGAAATGACGTTCAAGACGACTGACAAATGGAAGGAAAAAGCAAAAAAAGAAAATCCGGGAGTACTTCGTCTTTGAACAAAAAATACGTCTTGAAAAATAAATGTTGAAGTGTGAAGAAAATTGACATTTGGTGACGTCAAATCTGCGGCTGATTCTTTCTTTATTTCGTTCGACGAATAATTTCTTCACACCTTCAATATCGAATTTAAAAATATATAAAATTGTGTGCAGATTTGAAATTTATGCTTCACAATATATTTTGAATTGCTTTGCATTTTCAAAATATCAAAAATCAGCTGAACTTCAGAATAAAATAATATATATACTGTCGAAATGAAGGAATATTCTTATTAATTACCTACTGAAATCCATTGCGAAAAAAAAATTCAACGAAAATTTCACATCAACAAAGCGCAATTTTATGGATTTACTCTACATTTAAAAATTTTTGACAATATTGGGAAAATGATGCATTTTTGAACCGAGGATAAAAATATTTAAAAAACAGTGAAAAAATCGCACTTGAAATGCGTCAGAGGAACGAACGTCACGATTTCTTTCTTGAGAACTGAACACACAAATAAATTAAAAAAAACACACAATTTAGCTCCGTGTTCGTATGGATGATACTGTCTGAGTACGAGCACAGTACTGAAATCGACACTCGCTCGAGAAAGACGGAGAACAGCAGGATTTTCAGCAATTCAGACGTTTTCAGAAACGTTCCTTTGTGTTTCAGAATTCAGTTTCGGTTCGTATAGGAACATCATGATGTGCTCAATTCGTCGCCTCGTTTTGAGTCTCAGCTTAAGGCTAATATTTTCAACGATTCTAGGTGAGTATATACGGTACTGTTGATGAAAATATTTTGTTCGATATTTTTCCTATCTGTAAGATGTGTACAAAATTAAAAAATTTTGCCGAATATACGACATGATTCTCTGTGTTACATTATTGAGGTACTCAAGAATATCAAGATATGTTTATAAAAAAAATGCAGTACTGTAAATTCAGGTGAGGTTATTCGGGTTATGCTGTTCTGGTTTGGTTTCAGTTTGATTAGATGAGTTAGTTGAATTAGCGCAGTTTGATGATGCTATACTTGAATGAGCCAGTCTCATGAAATTAAAATTAATTTTCAAGCTTTATTCAGTCAGTATCTTCAGTTACTTAAATCAGTTTCTTCAGTTAGTTAAATCAATTTCTTCAGCTAATTGAATCAGTTTCTTTAGTTAGTTAAATCAGTTTCTTCAGCTGGTTAAATCAGTTTCTTTAGTGAGTTTGATTTGGTTAGTTAGTTTGATGTTAAAATGAATACAGTGAGACCCCCACATGCGGACGCCTTGACATGGGGATGATTTGACATGGGGACATTTATTTTTTAACAAAAAAATCATAAAAAAGACCCAACATGAGGACACTGACTCAACCAGGGGACATTCCAGGATAAAATTCCAAAATAATTTTAGGAAAATCAATTTTTATCAGGCTCAATTGCAAGAAACATATGTTTCCAACCTAAGATCTATGCAAGAAACATTCTTTGGTACTTATCCCATCATTTTCCCATCCATTCAGCTAATTTAAAAAATGCCCTATAGCACAGACTTCCCTCTAGCTCTCTTTGTGACGTGGATGCTATTTTTCCAGATGCCAAAATTGCAGTGCACAGTACAGAGATACACTATTCAATGCTCCAAATGTCCTTATTGAGTTGAAAATGTATTTACTATTTCAAATTCAAGTGGCAAAAAAATTTTTTCAGGGAATTCTGAAGAATATTTCTTCCACAAAACACCTATTGAAAATTATGTAATGTAAGTCTATGGGAAAACAAGACTCAACTTAGGGAGATTTTGACTTGGGGACACTCTTGATGCACCCATTATGTCTGCATCTTGGGGTTTCACTGTATATATAGAGTTGAACCTCTCTAAGTCAAATTTCAAGGAAACTGCAAAAAAATTGACTTTGAAGGCTTTGAATTACATAGTTTTGAACTAGAATACAAAGCCCTTTTTTTTAGAGAAACTTGGAAAAAATGCAAATTATGATGTTCCAGGGCTTAAATGGCTTCTTAACTGAGTTCAAGGCTGCTGAACTTGGAGGCAGGGGTTCATTTGTCCAATTAAGTCTTTCACTTCCTTTAAATCATACAAATTTATATTTTTGTTGCTTTTTTCTTGCTTGGAAAATGTTTATACAATATAATAAAATACTGGCTCTTGATAAAAAAAAATTAGAAAAACCACCCCTTGTTGGTGTGTTTTCAAATTTTCATTTTTGATGCACACTTAATTTGCCTGCCAACTTTTGAAAGAAAACGGTGCTGTATAGTTGATCAAGTTGATAATTTATTATAAATTGAAATCCGAAATCATAAATGCCTCAAATGGATCCTGATTTGCTAACTTTCAGAAAAAATAAAATTATGATATATATTTAGCTGTAAAAATGAGGCTTCATCATAAAAAAAATCAAAATGTGTTCTTGAAACTTCAACTTTTTTTCCCTCGTGACTAGTTAAAACTAAATGCTTGAAATATATTTAAAAAAAACAGTAGGCCTTACGCATAAGAAATCAAGACCCCACCAGTGTTGAGGTACATTCTGGATGAAACCCGGACCTTTTCACTCTGGTTGTTGACTATGAAAGTGTCAACGTTGCCTTCTATACGGCCGTATGACAGAAAACCACCTCTGTTGTTGACTCTAGTACCACCCACGATTTGTGGCACTATGTTTCCACTGTCATCATTCATTTCATTTTTTATTCCTGATTTTTGTTGATCCACGGTTTGAAGCACTGGGTGAAGATCCTCAGCAACTGATTGGGAAAGTGCATCAGATGACCCAACTGCGGCGGGGACAATATTTTTAAAAACGGGATCATATATGAAAGGTCAAGGTGCAAAACAAGGTATTCTAAAAGAAAAAATTGAATTGTATACATGTAAGAAATGCTGTACAAGTGATAAAGTCATAAAAGTTACCCACCCTCATCAAAATAACCAAAACATTTACCTATAACAGTCCTTAATATCTTTAGCATAATAGTCTAATTTTATCAAACTTAAAGCATCTTATCAAACTAACCAACCTACAGTGAGACCCCCAGATGCGGACATAATTGGTGCATCAAGAGTGTCCCTATGTCAGATTGTCCCCAAGTTGAATCTTGTTTTCCCATAGACTTACATTGTATAATTTTTAATTGGTGTTTTATGGAAGAAATATTCTTCAGAAATTCATGAAAAAAAAAATTTTCCACTTGAATTTGAATCAATGAATATCTTTTCAAACCAATAAGAACATTTGGAACATTGAATAGTGTACCTCTGTACAGTAAATTGAAAAGTTGGCATCTGGAAAAATAGCATCCACGTCACAAAGAGAGCTAGAGGGAAGTCCCTCTGTGCTATAGGGCATTTTTTAAATTAGCTGAATGGATGGGAAAATGATGGGATAAGTACCAAAGAATGTTTCTTGCATAGATCTTAGGTTGGAAACATATGTTTCTTGCAATTGAGCCTGATAAAAATTGATTTTCCTAAAATTATTTTGGAATTTTATCCTGGAATGTCNGTTGGAAATATCTGTTTCTTGTAATTTGGCCTGAAATGTATTTGCAGTTTTATCACAAAATGTCCCTATGTCGAGTCAGTGTCCTCATGTCAGGCCATATTTATTGATTTTTTCTGGGAAAATAAGTGTCCCTGTGTCAAATTGTCCGCAGGTCAAGGCATCCGTATGTGGGGTCTCACTGTATATAAATATATATATCCTGACAGGAGACTGATGTCTTTGTTTTCTCTATCATCTTCAATCTTTCAGAATGATTAAAAACTTTTTATAAAATGAAACAAAGAATGAAAAATAAATGAAATATTTTTCTTTGACAATAAATAATAAAAGGTACATGCTGACGTCAGCAACCCGTGTGGACAAGGCCTTATACGAACGCAGGGGAGTCATCTTGAAAATGCTCATAGTGGTGTTGGGAGATTATCAAAGAGCGCTGGATGACCCCAACAGAGTCGAAGTCTACGTTCCCACCAACTCGGTCGTCTATCACCCCCAATACGGAACCCCGCCCGCCAGCAACGAATGGAACCCCAATTCCCTCATCCGCTACAATTTGGCAATTTTGCCAATGAGTATGTTCCCGGATATCCTGCCAATGAATGCAGCAATTGCGCCACTTGACGTTGAGTCTGGGATTTCAACCGTGGAGGACCAGGCTGGGGTCATTCCTGACTGGACATTTGTGGACTATGGGAGTAAGTTGGGTGATGGAGATTTGATCTATTTTTCATTTAAGAAAATGGAAAATTGGACTGGTTTTTGTACAGTGGAGTCTTGGTTAACAAACACCCTGGTTAACAAAATCTTTGGATGACAGACTTATTGAATTTTGGCCTTAGATGCCCTGGATAACCAACCATGATTTGGTTTACAAACTTTGGGGGGTTTGAAGGTGTATTTCTTACACAACCTGTGAGACTTTCTCAAAATGAATGGATGCTGTTTTCAACACTCATTTCAGTGGACAGTCTTTTGTTAGGCATTGAAAAACACTATATTGAGGGTATAGCACCCTAAATAAATGACTTCCTCATGATCAAATATTCCTTCCACAGAATTTCATTGTCATGAGATTCTACTGTTTTCTGGGCCGTAAATTGCTTCTGAAATGAGTTGAAATGACACACATCTCAGAGACTTAAAGATATGCTTTCCAAATTAGTCTTTTGCTTTTTTTCAAAATGCATCCAGTTACTTTTTCCATTGTTTTCCTCTTTCCTGGGTCAATAAAAATAGCCAAAAGGCCTCCACAAATTTGAGTTATGGCAGTTTGAGGGGTAAACCTTTTGAGTTAGGGAGGCTTTCAATGCACTGTTCCTATAGGGGGAATTCAGACAGGGACTTGTAAAAATTTGAAATCAGGAGGATATTTTGGCTGGGGAAGGTTTCAGTTGTCAAAGTTCAACCAAAGTTAAATTTTGATCCATATATTATGGCATCCATTAAATCCAAGCACTGCTGTAAAGACCAGCAATATGTCTGTCATTGAACTTGTGCAAGAATAATCTTTTTGTTCATTCAGCATACAGTGACATCTATCTTGAACAAAGTGAGTTCATTGGGTTGGCAGCTTGTCCAAGAATTCTTAACAACAGCTTTGCTGGGTTGGATCCACTTGATGCTGGGTATTGCTTCAAAAAGGACAATGTCAAAGACTGTTCTGACACGGTAAGCAATCAATAAAACCCAATTCTCTTTTCTGATTATAATACATATACAGTGAGACACTGAGATGTGAACCCAATTGGTGTTGGGACTTTGTCCCTATTTCAAAATTTCCACATGTCACATCTTTTTTTGGTACTTTCCTGTTATCTCAGTAACTAATTTCCTGTTATCTCTGTACCTTCCCTCTGACTAATTTAACCAGACTTAACCTAACTTCACCTAACTGCCTCCAAAAATCAGTTTCTGCTTTCTTTGGGTTTCTGCTGAAACAGATTTTTGGAGGTGGTTAGGTGAAGTTTGGTTAGGTCAGGTTATGTTAGTTACAACTATCTTTTCACTAACATAACCTGACCTAACCTAACTTTACCTAACTGCCTAACAAAATTTGTTTCAGCAGAATGCAGAAAAATAAAATTCACAGTTTCTGGTAGGTTGTTGTGATTATGAACTTGTCCTAAAGATTTTTCTGGATGGTATTGCGGTCTAGGAATGAGGTACTGAGATAACAGGAAAGTACCAAAAGGGTTTTTTCCCATATACTTCAATGCTAACTCATTTGATTAGCTCTCCAGTTCATCAAAAATTAGAAATAAATCCCCCAAAAATTTCTAATAAAATCTGTCTCTCAACTGAAAGATGCAGAATATAACTGTGTAGAAGAAAGCCATGGAGAATCTGATCTATTCTGGCATCAAAAGGGCAAAAAGCAAAGTAAAAATACAAGTCTTACTATGCACAGATGATGGAGAAATAAAACAATTACAAAATTAACCTTTTTGATCATAAATATATAGGTGACTTTGAAAAAATAATTTATGACCACTATTATGAACTTGAAAAATTCAAGTTGCTTGAGAGATATAGAAATTTTGGAAAAAAACTTTTAAATGACCCAAGAAAAATTGGAAAAGTGTTTGTATGTCCAGATTTTGTCCAGATGTCGGGTCTAATTTTTCAAATTGTCCCCAAGTCAAATTGTCCATATGTCCAGGTGTCCGTATTTCGGGGTCTTACTTTAATTACATTAGAGAAGCATAGCAATACATTAACTAAAAAGTTTGGATGAAGCTTGCAGCAGCGATTCCTTTTTTCACGACTGTCAATAAATGACATTGCAGAAAACTAATCATCAGCTGAGAAGATTGTATTTGAGGAACATATTCGATGGAAGTTCGCCTCTCCAGTATCTTCACACAACCTTTATTTAATGTAAACATGTATAAAAGGAAAACAAAAGAGTTTTGAGTTGCATCATCTTCCAGCGGAATTGTCATTTTCTGTACTTTTTTACGCCAGCAATTTTCTCATGTTGCGATGACTCACTATACGTATAAACGAATTTAAAATTTTATTTTTTCTTGGGGGTACAACTTCTAAAAAAAAAAAAAACAGGGAGATGCAGGATCCCCAGTGATCATGGAGACCAGGCAAAATGGCACAATGATCAGAGCATTGGTTGGGATCCACCAAGGAATTCAGTGCTCCAACGACTCCACTTCTGCAACGGAATATTCCAGCTCCATGTCATATTCTGCACACGCGTCCTTCATTTGCGGATATTCGCCACAGTGCATCATTCGAGACCCGACATGCAATGATGGCACGCTGAAATGCTTCCTGCAAAACGTGTTGTCGGGAGTGTTTTAAATTTTTTCAGCATAATCAAAGCTGAACGGCGTGAATTTTGTTTGCCTTTTTGTGTGGAATTATAAAGGCACTTGGGTGACAGTCGATCAGAAAATATTATTGTTTCGAAATGCCAAAATGGGCAAGTCTTGATGACTATATACCATTAACTAAGAACCTCAGTTTAAAAACGTTTGCACCCAAAACAAATAGCCAAATCTTACAGCGACATCAGAAAATTGTTTTGAAAAAATCCGGATTTTGATTGATTTTCTCCAAAGTCACGCTTTATTTCCTGCATCAAATTACTGCAAACAAATTTGATACCAAATTTGGCAAGTCTTTAGAATGCTTTTCCCAATAGAATGGATTCCCTGAACGTTTCTTAACCACACTTATCATTATACCCAGCAAATAATTTGGCCGTTTCAACCTGCGTTGCAGCCCCATTGGCAAGTCATTGGGACCCAAACGTTGGGCTAACGGCTCTTGGTCACTGCCCAATGTCTGAGAGCAGGCATTCCCCCAAACGTTGGCCAAGGCATGCTGGCTTGCGTTGGGAACCCATTCTGGCAAACATTGGGGAGGTTCCCCCAAACGTTGGCCAATGCATGTCAGAATGGGTTCCCAACGCAAGCCAGCAAAGTTTGGGGGAACTTACCCAATAAAAGCATCCCCCATGTCTGNCGCAAGCCAGTAAAGTTCAGGGGAACTTACCCAATAAAAGCATCCCCCCATGTCTGAAAAGCAGTAGAAGAAAAGAAAAAAAATTCCCATTCAACTGCTGCTGTTTATATACCCTTTAATTACAGTCCTTGATGATATGTAATAAATTACAACACCTGCATATTCCCCATCAAGAATTGTGTGGAAGTGTTTTAGCAGAGTTTACAGAAGTTTAAGCTCATATTATAAAACAAATTAATTATTTCATACATGGATACATCACAGGGATGAAACACAGCAATTGGTAGGATAGGCAGTGTATTTTATAAAAACAAGGCAGAAGTGACCATAAAACACATTTGAACTGTTGAATATTTTGAATAAGAAGTAGCAGACTTGAAAAACTGAAATAATAGCTCTGTAGACTCCATTAACCCATTAAATGATTCTTCAGGTTTTCTCTTTCACAGAAGTAACAATAAATACAGTAAGTTAAATAATTTGACTCCTTGTCTTGAAAGGTTATTGTCAAAACCCAGGAAGTACATTCTACAATACTTAACTTTTTAAATGTCCTTCACAAAATTTTCGCAGCAATCTTTTTTTTTTGCTGCAAATTTTTCGAAAACTGTAGAATGAACACGCGACCGTTTGAGACTTCAGATAGCTTGCAGTGACATCTACATGTACTTCTTCGAATATTTTCGTTTTGGTTTCTGAAGCATGAACTAGGGGCTGTTTTATTCCCTTGAAATGATTTCATCAATTTTTTGTTTTGTTTTTCTCTTCTTGTATGTCAGAGAGTGGGTCCACGCATAACAAAGGTACAATTGTGTAATAAAAATGTCTAAAATCGCATGTTTGTTTAAAAAGTATGCCTTTAAAGAGTATCTTGTTGCAAATGATATTAATCAGACAAAAATACATTGTTATCCTAAATTGGCGAAAGAATAAAACTTCAGACACTTTCGTGTAGAAAGAAACGTCTCTCTTTCTTACGCAATTAATCTAAAACTTAGTTCTTTCCAAGATAACGTTCTGTCGAGAAGAATTCTAATTCTTTATGGCAGGGGTAAAAGTGAATCTAGACTTCTCGGTAAAGTGAATACGTATATATTTCGTGAGCTTCTCCAACAAGAGTCAAACCAGCAATGAATGCTGACATACACACTTCGCGGTACCTTTATAGATGCGGATCAAGCCAGACGCGTCTGCGCAACTAGAACGGGGAAAACAGAAAGGGGACCGGGCAAATGACCGCAAACCAGACAGTGTATCGAGGACACGCAATGTCATTGTCTGCTTCGGGGCAGCGAGTTGCTATGCGGGAATTGCAACAGTAGAGAGCNTTGAAGGTTTTGATTGCAGTGTTCTTGTGCCATATTTGTTCTAATATTGCTCCCTTATGTTTTTAAACAGTTTTTCGTGTTCAAAGCCGGATTCCACGTGAAAATTAAATCAACAAAAAGATCAACGGCGCGCTACAACAACGACGACGACGTACGACGGACATGGAGAACGGCGCCCTCTACAACCAAACGGTCTTCGGGAAACAATTCAGGCTATTTTTGTGAGTCAGGAACATTCAAGAACCGGTCAAAACGGACAAAAAGATGGGGTCTTTCACTTTGGTGGCAGTGACATCTATCCTGCTCTTGGTAAGTTTTGAAACAAAAAGTGCCTTGAAAGACCAAAGTTTCAGCTTTTTTCTTGTATGTGAAATCTTCAGGTGCTGGGTGGTCATCTGGAAGCTTGCAGCAATGTTGCAGGCACCCTAGTGTGTGAAGATGTCTGTGATGTGAAGAAGCCAGGCAGATTTGGACATGCTGTTGACTTCCAAGGTACCAGACTGGATTTGGACTGTGTGAGGTACAAAGGATTGAAGGTTTGTAGTTTTCCTTAGCTCTTCTCAATTTTTCTGTAACAAGAGAATAATTAGACTTGTTTACAATTCAGTACTTGTTTTTTCAGGTGGTCAAGCTGTTTACTAAAACATATTGCAAGGGGAAGACTCAAGGCATGGAAAAAGTGGTTCAGCCTTGGGAACTGTGCTTCTTCAAGCATGAAAGTAAGTACCCTCTGTCATTAGTTTGGAATAAAGACCTGATTAATCAGTTCTTTTGATTCCTTTTTTCAGAAAAACCTGTACAAGTCCAAGAACTTGAGGAAAACCTAAGTCTGACAAAAGAAGAAGATAAGGAGATGATACAACCAACCAAACAGACTCAGTGGGAACCAACAAGGACAATGGCTCCTGAAGTGATGATTACAACCACGGCGGTCACCACCAAGGAACCCCTTACATCCAAAACTCCAACCCTGACACAGGCAACCACCACTTCTGGACCAGTGATGACTACATCCTTGGAGCCAACCACAGCCAAGGTTACCACTGTTCTTGCAGCATCCTCAGCTGTTCCAGCACCTTCCTGGAGTCCAATTCCAGCTGTGGTGGATCCTCTTGGTACTTGGGTTCCAATGCCGTCTTCTCCCATGCCATCCACTGAGGGATCCCAGAACCTTTCTAGCATCTTGGATGACTTGGGTCAGTTTGATGGTTTTAACCTGACGGCCCGTCGTCCGGATGGGACCTTGGTGCAAGCGGAATTCTCACCCTTGTCGTTTTGGCTTGACATTCTAACCTGGGTAGGCAGTGCCTTGGGTGTCGGCTCTTCCCTCATCGCTGGAATTGTCTGCTGTTGCAGAAATATCAAGTGCAAGGTGTGCTAACTTTTAACACTGGATTAAGAGATTTTGGATTAACCTTGGTGCTTTTGGTTTCGCTTTGGCTTTTGCTTTTTGTGCAAAATAGAAGGAAAGAGCTGTTAATGAGACTAACGTAAATAGGCAAGAGGAAACTCGTTCATTTCCCAATCCTTCTTTTGAGGAAATGGAAATGGATGAGTTACCGTCTCTGGCAACTGTCCGACCTTTAATGGCCTCTTTCCGTAAGCATGACCTTTTGCTTGCAACTTGCATGTGCCTTGACTTTCGATGTTCTCAGGTCCGGTCCAAGCAACTAGATGCAGCGGAGGTCTTTGCGCGGCTGGGGTGGCCCCTGCTGCGTGCCTGGATGCTGCGGAGGATTCGTTCTAGCCGGGCCAGGACTATCCCAAGGAACCCAACTCCAATGCCTGCAGTGGACACTATCAGCATGGACAGCTTCCACACTGTAGGAGATTTAGTCTAAGCGCGCGTATTGTATGTATTTTTGCGCATCTTAGGATTTTGTTGTTGATAGGGGGACTTTAATAAAATATTGTCTCCTGAATTGGTGTTGTCCCTTTTCCTTTTTTGTTTGTTTTCTCCACAGTTTTCTTTCAACAGCTCATCAAAAGGCAAAGCAACCAGTCTACAGTAAAAACACGAGACACAGGAGTAAGTCAAGAACAAAGCACACACCTGTAAATTCTGTAACCACACACCTGCAAATCAACAAAGGTACATCAAAATACACAATTGTAAGATCAACATTTGTTGGTAAAACAAAAACACTAGACACAGGAGTAAATCAAGAACAAAGCACACACCTGTAAAGTCTGTAACCACACACCTGCACATCAACAAGGGTACATCAAAATACACAATTGTAAGATCAACACTTGTTGGTACTCTGATAATGCTCACACAAGTATAAGACAAATATATATATATATGTCATAAAATAGACATTTCAATGCTTTACATTCAAATCCAACAATATATATATAGAGTATATATAGAGTATATAGTAAGTAAGCTTAAGATATAAGCAAAAAATAGCTAGAATGAGGTGCTATCCTGCAAGGGAGTGAATGTTTTTTACTTGATAGCCATTAAACCAGTAGATGCACTAATTTGTAATCTAGGATATTGTGGGGCAGCTGGAGCATTTCTGGAGG